AAAAAGCTTGACTGGCTATCAATGGCATTTAAATAGGATGAATGAAACATTAAATTGAATTCTACCCTGTTCCAAATACTGACTGTCAGAGATGAAAACAAGCTTTTCTTATGGACTGGCTATTGATGGCATCTAAATAGGATGAATGATATGTTAAACTGAGTTCTGCACATACTCCATTTAGCTAGGTTTTGTCAAGTGTGGCCTTACATGCATGATATATCATCACTGTATGAGATTGCATTTCAGGCAGTGTAGAATGGAGAGAATTCCACTCCTTTCCTGGCCTTAGGATAGACCCAACGTTTGAAACACAATATTAATTTCAGTTTGTAGTTCTAGATTTTCTAGGTGTGTCTTCAGATTCCTCTTTATAGTTTTTTTTTTTTTTTTTTTTTTCTGGGAAAGGAGTAAGGAAGTCTTCCCAATTCATTTGACTTTTAGAAGACATTTAAAACAGAAAGATAGTTGGCAAGAAGTGAGCTGCAAATGTGAGCAGCAGCTCCAGACGGATCAGGGGACTCAGCTTGGGACCTCTTTGCTGTGGTCTCTGGATGCATGGTTGAATTGGTTGGGACCATTTAGTTGACTAGGAGGTCTTGCCCTGAACTCACTGTCTGTGTAGGCTTTCTGATGGTTTGTACAGCATTGAACCCTTACCTAGATCTAAAATGCACATGCTGAGGGCAGCTCCAGCCACCTCTCGTGTCATATGGTGAGTGTATTCCTGAGAAGTGGGGTGAAAACAACATCTACGAATTGTTAAATTTATCACACAGGGTGATGCTTAAGTTAAACAGCAAAGCTCTTGTAAAATGTAAAACAATTCTTGATTGTATTCTCTTCTACTTTTTTTGGGGACGGGTACTGGGGATTGAACTTGGGACCTTGTACTTGTGAGGCAGGCAGTGAAACCACTGAGCTAAATCCCTGGCCCTCTTCTACTTTCTGATACGAATCTGACAACCTGTGGAGTGGACAGGGAAGGTGTTTCTCTTCTCCCATCTCCCATTTTAAATAGCAGCTTCATTGAGATATAATACATATTGGGGCCACTCTGCAGAAAAAGGGTGGATACCCCCACCCACCAAAAACTTTCAGAATGCTGAGAGTAATGACTCATACACATTCCAGGAGGGCATGTAAAGGTCACACACACACACACACACACACACACACACACACACACACGATGTTATTATGTACATGTACCAACTCTCCAGGAAAAATAAAATCATTATGTACCGCAAACATATCCTAATTAGAAAAAAAAAAAGGTATATTACTCACGAAGTGAGGCTTTCTAGGGGAAAGCAGCGCAGCTCCCAAGCAGGTCTTCAAATAGCTTTTGAGGACAGGGAAAGAAGACTTGCTTGGGGATTTTGTGGTAGTATAGGGAGGTGTGGGGTTGAGGGTTCCTACTAATGGTTTGAATTTACTGCTGAGTGCCAAAAGAAGGAGCCACTTTGACTTTCCTGTCAGCTTTCCCAAAGGTGGACTGAAGGGATAAAAGCTTAAATGCTGTCAGGATCAAATATCAGAAATGAAGTCGAAGCCCTTATTACATTCACATTAAGTCACTTTGAATGTATTCAGTCAGTAATTTTATTAGTATGTGTATTAGAAGCACTGTATAGTTTTGAGCATTTTATTATCCCCAAAAGCAACCCTATCCCCATTAGCAATCACCCCATATTTCCTCTCTTCAGTTCTAGATAAGCATTAATTTATTTTCTGTCTCTATAGATCTGTCTTTTCTGGACATTTCATTTAAGTGTAGTCTGAATTCTTTGGTAATTAGCTTCTTGTACTTAGCATTATGTTGTCAGATTTTTTTCATGTTGCAGCATGCATCAGTACTTTGTTTTTATGGATGCATGATATTCAAGTGTGGATATGCCATATGAGTTTGTCCTAATAAAGGGTGATTGATCTGGAGCATCTAAGGGAAAGGCAGTGGTGGGAGTCACTTGTCAGAATTAGCAGGACAGGAAGATGTGGGCCTGGATCTCAAGAGGCACTCAAAGACAGGCATCCATTCTTGGGAGCTGTGTAAATTAGAGGTGACATTTATAAATGTGAAAGTAAATGTGATCTCCAAATTGAGATATATACTCCTTTAGTGTCTGTACTGTTTGCTAATAGGTTCCATCCATCTCTTCATGCCCTGTGATGAAATTCATGGTAATTATCATTTTAGAACAATCCAGAATCATTCTTTATTGTTTGTTTTGTTTTGTTGTTGTTTTGAGACAGGGTATTGCTATGTAGTCCAGGTTGGCCTTGAACGCAGTATGTAGCCAAGGTTGGCCTCAAACTCATGGCAGTCTTCCTGCCTCAGCCTCCCAAGTGCTGGGATTATAAGCATGCACCACCACACCCTGTTCCTAGGATCATTCTGGTACAGAAAAATCAGTGAAATCAAATTGGAGAATACACACATCTTGAATCATTGGTTATGTCATGCTTCAATTAGCATGAAACCCATATTTTGGTTTTGTTGAGTCCTTTGCTCTCAGTATTTTCTGTTGTTTTTTCCTACTCATTAATTTTGTTTGGAAAATGATTAATATTTAAAATTAATATATTTTAATGCTTATTAATGCATATCTAGGAAGTGTTTCTTTTTTGCTCTGAATGATGGTAGGAAATAGTTCCATTCACTCCTATTTTTAAACATTTTATAGAGGTATGATTTATAAATAAGGTTATACAAATTTAGGGTACACAATGTGATGATTTCACATGGTGAAATGATTATGACAATCAAGTTAAAAAAATCTAGGAGCCAGGGTTTCAGCTCAGTTGGTTCCACTGCCTGCCTCCCAAGTACAAGGTCCCGAGTTTGATCCCTGGTACCAAAAAAAAAAAAAAGAGTCTTATCACCTCACATAGTTACCTTTCTTTTTGGTAGTGAAAACATTTAAGGACATTCAGTACTAACTTAGGGCTTTTAAAGTAAGTCAAATAGAACATACCAGTAGTTTATAATTTGCTTGGGTATCATTTATAATCCTTTGTAAAGTTTGAACATAATCCTTTTTATCTCATATAATATTCTCTGGCTTCTGCACCCAGGATGTCTAAAGTAGGTAATAACAACACTGTAAATTTCTAGGTATTATGTTTTTTTCTATGGAATGAACTGGTCTTTTTTATGGTGTTCTCTTGCAGTATAGAAATTGGATTAATTGATGGAATTTCTGAATTATCAACATGGAGAGTTTAATCCATGTAGTTAGTATCTTATAGTCTTTAGTTTTCAGTTTCTATACAAATGAGTTTGCATGTTATTTATCTGCTTGAATTGTGGTATTTCATGAAGACTTTGATTTCTTAATGGCAGAATATGGGTGAATCTTGAATCTTACAGCTTTCCTTTAACTAACTCACCATATGAATTTGGAATGACCCACAGAGACAGTTTTGTGCATGTGGCCAATATCTCTACCCCTTTGATCTTGTGTGACTAATAGATACACTTTGAGCAAAATGCAGGATATAAAATAAGCCTAGATTTTTGCTTTTCTGTGGGAACTCAGTGGCCAAATTGATCACATAAAACAGACATTTTGGAGTCATGTGACTGGATGATGGTCATTAGTGGTCTTCTTTTACTATATTACTTGGATTTCTGTTACCTGCACACACACATACCCTGCCATACTCAGTTATTCTAATTCTTTCTAACTTGAAATAGATAGAAAATGAAAATTACAGCCAGGCGTGGTGGTGCATGCCTATAATCCCAGCACTTGGGAGGCTGAGGCAGGAGGACCACTTTGAGTATGAGACCAGCCTGGGCTACATACATAGTGAGTTCCAGGTCAGTCTCAACTACATATTGAGACCCTGTCTCAAACCCCCCCAACAAAAAAAAATGCCTGTTGTCTTAAGAAATAAGGAATAGTATCTTAAGAGAAAAAACTTTTTTCTAGATGTTTCTTGTGAGTGGAAGGCTTTCTCTATGTGTGAATGGGTGAAGCATGGTTGTCTTTTAAAAATGTTTTTGTTTGTTTTATTATTTTTTTTTTCTTTTGAGACAGGGTCTTGCTATCTTGATCAGGCTGGCCTTAAACTCATTATGTAGCCCAGGCTGGCCTTGAATTTGTGGCCATCCTCCTGCCTCAACCTCTCGAGTGTTGGGATTAAAGATGTGTGCATGCTTGGCTGGTTGTCTTATATATAGTTAGGCTTTCATTTCTTAGGAAGGAAAATGGCAAGTCAACTTGGCATTGTATCAGTGACAAACTTCTCTATTAGCCATCTCCAAAGATTCACACGAGATTTTAGAGCATCAGTGAAAGGACACAAATTAGTTATGTACCAAAAATTACAGCCATTTTGGCTGTAAGGCTTCAGTGTGCATTTGTCATTGCATACTGGAGCACTGGTGCAGAGGCACATAGCTAGCCAGTGGGGTGACCCTTTATCCATGTTCTCGTTTGCATCTTTGGGTACCAGCAATGGGAACATCCCTTTCAGCAGTGCAGACTTGCTAGCCCTCTCTAGCAAGGAGTGGAGCTGGGCAGAAGTCAAGATCCCTCCAGCAACATTTTGTTCCCTTGTGGTTTGCTGTCAGCAAGCTGTAACCCATACACGAAAAAGGTTGTTTGAAGTGCGCTTACATGTGTTTCCATAGCAGCAGTCATCTTAGCAATTTCACTCGTTTTTGGACTTTTTTTTTTCCTTTTGCTTCTCTGTTCCTCGCCGATGCAGGATTAAACAAACAGCACATTTAGGTCAAGGAAAGAGATATTTGCTAATATAGATGCTAGGCTAAGCATTTTGGGAGGGTGATTTCTTGCAGCAGATGAATATTCTTTGTGCCTTCCAGCAGCTCTTGCAGCACTGTGGCTGTCTGACACTGTCTATTTCATTTTGGGCGGGTTCTGAGATTTAGAACAGTCCCAAGCAAATCACAGGAGCCAGCAGTTTTCTATTAACCCCACTCAAATGTTTTGTACATTTATTCTTTGTATTAACAGTGAAGCAATCCACTGGAGAAACGATATTTTCAAAGTCTTGGTGCATCCGAGGTGTGTCATCTTGATTTTGCACCACCCACCCTCCTGTTTTATATTCGGAGCTTGGATTTTTTTGTCAGGCTGTTGGGCAGAAGCAGATTCTAGTGTGACAGCTTGGAACTTCCCTTCTGTTCCAGTGCCGGTAACTGCCTGTCATGGAGATGGTACAGTGGGAGCTTGTGTCTGAAGAGCCAAAGAAAATGATGTGAAAATGGAGTAGAGATTACTAGAAATCTGAACATCCACACCTTGGGGATGGGTTGCACTACTAGTGTGATTCTGTTCAAAGGCATCCGCACTGTTTTTGAAAGAAACTGTGCTTATATGTGCAAACAGCAAGGAGAGAATAATGTCCTTGAATATACAGCATACAGTTGGACAAAAGAAGATTCAGAACTATTGATCTCCTCCTGTCTGGTAAATGCTGTTTTGCTTTATTAATAAGTAGTTTAATGGTGATAAAGTAAACTGAGCTTTATTTTTAAAGCAAATATATTTATTTTCAGTATGCTTTTATATATGTAGTTTCTCTATATAAATGGGTAATTTATTAAATTTAAATTTTTAGGTGTGTGTTGGTATGTGTGAGAATGGCAGGTATTAAATACATACAGAGAGAGGAGCTGGAGTAAGGTATTACAGAATAGTTTTCTAAGTTTTATAAGCTTGCATGTTATTTGGTAATTTCCAGAAACAATACTTGGCAAAATGTGTATTTAGGGTATTGTATATGTGAACCCTCTTCCAGTGATAGTGAATTATTCCATCCCTTTACATCTAAGCCTTTTACTTGGCTAGGTTTTCCTACCTAATGGCTTGTGGTCAGTCTTTCAATTCAGGGGGAGAAATTTAAAGAGAGCATGAAAGAAAATTGTAATGGATATGAGACAAATATATAGTTTGATTTTCTTAAAATCCAGCTATAATATTTTTGGGCAAAGGGTCAATGAGACTAAAAGGAGGCTTAGTTTGACAGTACATTTCTGTGTTCTGTCCTCCTTCAGGAGGTTCGAAGAAGTGTCAGATCACAGATGGGTGTGCCAGCCAGTGGCCTTCTCAGTATCAGGCTTGTGAAGAAGGCACATATTAGTATCCCCTGCTCAGAATGCCTCCCATTTTTCCTTCTGTTCTTATCACAGTTTTTGTCAAGATGAGTGGAGACAAATATGTGTAAGCTTTTGTGCATCAATCTTGGTGGTAGAACGAGGCATGCAGACATGCTGAAGCCTTTCCCCGTGTGAGGGTCTAAGTCTGTGGAGGGGATGTTGCTGTGCCATTTGCACATTGGGATCAGAGCTAGGCGTTGCAGACTGTATGAGTCTGGGAAGACAATGCATTTTTAGGAAGGGCTTGTCTGATATTAGCACTCAAGATACAGTACTTGGGAGGAGGGAAGGGAGCATCTGAAGCATCAGATGCATTTTGGAAGGCAGTGTTGTGTGTGCACTGGAATTTAAGTGGTGCTATAAACTGCTAAATATTTTAAGCACTGATATATATTGGAATATGCTTTGGAGAATAACTGGTATCAGAAATGTGAAGGACTAGCTCAGTATAGAGCTCTGCTGCATTATTGTACCATGATCCGACAGACTAGACCTACATGGCAATGCCTCTCCCATGCTGCAGGTTGTGCTCCTTTGGGCCCAGCTGACTTGATTTGGTTAACCTGACTTTAATCGACTCCACCTGTGTTTCTTTTCCTTTTATTGCTCAAGAGAATAGTAATCTGGTAGGGGCTTTGTCAGAGCTTTAGACCTCGGTTTCTGAGACCTTGCTTCTGAATATCATGTTGGCTGTACTCTGCTTATCCCCCTCACCTGCACCAACAGGCTGTATGTCCATGTCCCAAGATGTTGCTGGATGGAAAGATCCCAACTGGCCTTCCTTCTGTCCTCGTTGCTTGTGGTCTTCTCTGCGTGAAGCAGGCAAAGTGGGCCTTTGGGAAAGAAAATCAGGCCTCCTCTGCTCAGGACCCATTGGTAGCTCAGGGTCAAACAGAATCCTTGCAGTGGCCTTCAGATCAATTGATAGCACTGCCCACCAGTGCATACTTCCTCCTCTCCATCTCTTTCCTCCTTTCTCTACTTTCTTCACCTTGTTTTGGCCCCCTTGTCTGCCTAACTGTTCCTTCTGTGACATCTCCACCCAAGTATTGCGAAGTTCTTGCCTGGGCCCCTTCAGGTCTCTACTCAGATTACCCTTCTCACATTGGGCTTGGTAACCTTGCAACACTCCCATTGAGCCCTTTCCCCATTGGCTGCATAGTTTTCTGGTAGTATTGAGCTCCCCTGACTACTCCTAGTTCAGAATATGTAATAGCACACGAATAGAAATAATAATTACCAATGTAACATAGAGTATACTTACATACAGTACAAGGATACAATTCACGATGGCTGGAATTTTTGTCTCTCCTGTTCACTACTCTGTTCCTAATCACTAGATCAATGTCTGCCTCATAGTAAGTACTCAGTTAATGAGTAAAGTCTCATGAAGTGGTTTTATTGTCCTGAATGTGGAGAAGCTGCTGAAAAGATAGGTTATAATAACTTTAAAATCAAATTTTTTTGTTGTCGTTGTTAGTTTCTTCCAGTAACTGGCTCATTAAAAAAAAAATCTTTCCTAGCATGTTGACCATTCAGCTCCTTAGAGTTATACTTTCTAACCCTTTTATTCTGGAGTTGTATCAAGAAGTTATGTAGGCCAAGGCTAAGTATTTCATGGGTTTGTGATGGTCACGGTTGACATTTGACTATATTATCTTTGTACATTATTCAGACTGCCTCTGTTGAGAACTGTTCCTCAGGCATTTGGGGACCTATTGCTTTTTAGTTTAACTCATATTTCAATGATCTTGTTTTATTTTATTTTTTTAGATTTTTTATGAGTGCATGTTTACAATACATCATGAATACATTCATTATGGGGAGTTGCTACATATACATATGGCATCTTAGTTCTTTTTACTTATCCTCCTCTTTTCTTCCTTCTCTCTCCATCCGTAAATCCCTTCCCAATCTGCAAAAGGTCTATCTCCCTGTTTTCTATCATCTGTCTTTTATTTGCTCCTTAAATTATTTATACTTTGGGTTTTCATATAAGAGAAACCAGGCAATATTTAAACTTTTGTTTCTGATTTATTTCACTTAGCATTAGGATCTCAAGGTGCATCCATTTTCCTATAAATGACTCAAATTTATTTTTCTTTATGGTTGAATAGTACTCCATTGTGCATATATATCACATTTTCTTTATCCATTCATCTTTAGTAGACATATAGGCCATTTCTAAGATTATCTGTTTTGAGTTGTGCTGCTGTAAACATGGGTATGCACATAGTACTGTAATATGATGTCTTTAATGCTTTTTGGAAGATACCAAGAAGAGATATAGCTAGTTCAGATGAATTTCTAATTTTAGTTTTTTGAGGAATCTCCATACTGATTTCCATCGTGGTAATTCTAGTTTATGTTCTCACCAATAATGTAGAAGGGTTCCTTTTTCTCCATATCCTTGCCAGCATTTGTTCTTCCTTGGGTCCTTGATGATAACCATTGTTTCTAGAGTAAGTTGGAATCTCAGTGTTGTTTTGATTTGTATTTCTTAAATGGTCAAATATGCTGAACATTTTTAAATGTGTGTATAAGCCATTTGTACTACTTCTGAGAAATGTATATTTACTTGCTTTTTATTGAGTCTTATTTTGGGGGGTCTTTTTTGGAATTCTCTATATATTTGTAGATACTAGTCTTCTATTTCAGGAAGACTAACTTATTGCTGGCAATTTTTTTTCTCTATTCTGCAGGCTTCCTCATTCTTCACTTTGTTGGTTGTCTCCTTTGCTGTGCAGACCTTCTTTTTTTTTTTTTTTTAATATGCCAGGGATTGAACTCAGGACCTTGCACTTTAAAGGCAGGCAGCGGCACCACTGAGCTACATCCCCAGTCCAGAAGCCTTTTAATATGCTGTAATTGCATTGGTTGATTTTTTTATGTTATTTGTTGAGCAATTGGGGTTTTGTTCAGAAAATTCTTCCTATTCCTTATATCTTCAGGAGTTTTACAAATTTTATCTTCTAGCAGATTCAATGTTTCTGTTTTAATATCTAGGTCTTTGATCTATTTAAATTTTATTTTGGGTCTAGATTCATTTTTTTTGGATAACCAGTTTTCCTAATACCATTTGTTAAAGATCTGTCTTTTTTCCAGCATATGTTTTTGGGCTCTTTGTCAAAAATATAAGAAGGCTGAATGTACCTGGGATTATTTCTGTATCCTCAGTTCTATTCCATTGACATGCATGCGTGTTTTTTGTGCCAGTACCATGTTGTTTTATCACTGTAGCTTTGTAGTAGAACTTGAAATCCTGGGTTGTAATGCCTTTTGCTTTGCTCTTGTTGCCTCGGATAGCTTTTGCTGTTCTGTGTCTCTTCTGGTTTCATATGAATTTTAGGATTGTTTTTTCTAGTTCTGCCTCTTGTTACTCCCTTCGGTCACATGCATGCAAAGCTAGGCTGACCTTATCTTCAGGCAGATATGGGTCCATGTCAGGGTTCTTAGCCTTGGTTCGGAGGGTGACTGTCCTATGTCCAGCCCAGGTGATACCTCTAGCAGGTAGCTCAGCCTAAAGTGTCAGTGGGTGACCTCATCTGAACCACTCAGTGCCTATCAGACTTGGTGGAAGGAATGTATTATTCATGAAGCTTAGCATGAAAGATTGAGGCCATCTATTCTCCCAGAGAATCTAAATATCTCCAACACTTGCCCATCATTTAGGAAACCATATGCCTGTACTGCCTCATTTTGGTCTCCATGGAATTTTTGCTTCTGAACTGAGGTGTGTGTTTTTTTCTCTTGGCATGTACTGAAGCACAACCTAAAAAATGTCCTGTGAAAGCAATACACATTGCAAGGAGGTTGAAGATACTCTCAATAGTTCACTTGTCCTCAGAGCAGCAAGAGACATTGTAGGCAAGCATGCAGGCTCTAGAGCCAGCTTTTGATGCTTGAAGCCCAAATGCACACAGGACTTGGGAGCTATATGACTGGACAGTTTGCTTAAGTACTCTGTTCTTCACCTACTCTGTTCCTTACCTACTAAATGCAGGTAGGTAGTAACGGTGTTTATCTCATAGCAATATTAAATGAGTGAATATTTCTAAAGCATCTAGGATATAAGTAAGTGCTAATTGTTATTATCATTGTCATTGTATTTTTCAGTGTTTTCTTTATGGGGAACCCTGGAAAAAATTTCTTCTCTCCATTAATGGTTGCACCTTCCTGACATGTACATATACATATACGTAGAGATACATTTACATGTACTATGGTTCTTATAGTTAAATGTAGCCAAGTCTTAGTTAACTGTTAAACCTTAATACCAGAGACCCAATTCTAACAAAATGATCCCTCTCT